TTTAAATTATTCATCTTTTTGTTTCATTAATTGATTTAAAATTTAATGTATTAAAAAAAATCTAACAATGTTTTTATTTGTTTCTTGAACACTCTAATTCCAAAAAACGACCAGAGGTGGCTCACAAAACCAGACACATAGGGAGCTGTATGACTCGGAGAGAAGCCAGGGACTGGCGAGATGGCCTTCTGATCTAGGCAAGCATTTCACCAGTTGAACCACGTCTCCAGCACAGGGTCATGAAATTTTTGCCAAGTGTCCACAAGAAGACCCAATCCTCAATAAACACTGTTAGGAAAATGCCCCACAATAAACACCAACTCACAGCCAGCAAAGAATAAATATACCAAAGCCATAAAACTTCTAGGTGATGGGGCTGGAGAGAGGGTTGAGTAGTTAAGAGCACTGACTGCTCCTCCAGCAGACCTGGGTTCAATTCTCAGCAGCCACGTGGCAACTCACAACTGTCTGTGACTCCAGTTCCAGGGAATCTGACACCTCCACACCAATACCTATAAAATAAGTTTTAAAAAATTCCTAGAGGAGAACTCAGCAGCTAAGTTCCTTGATTTCCCAGATATGAGAGCAAAACCTCAGACAGGAACAGTGAATAGAATTACAGGGCTGCGTCTGTAAACTAAGGTGTTTCTGCCCAGTCTAACTATCACGGGCAGCGAAATACTTGCCGGTCACAATTTGATGAGGGTTAAGATCCTCAAACGGCAAATGACAAAAGCTGATAGTAACTTGATTTCCAGGTGAAGAAAGGCAGGACTGAGGTCGACTGGGAGAGGCTTGCCCAGCACACACGTTGTCCTGGCTGGAGCCACAGCTCTGCATAAAAGCCGGCATAGCAGAGCACACTGGCGGTGTTAGCGCTGTGGAGGTGGAGGCAGGGAGATCAGGAGCTCAAACCATCCTCGGCAGCCTCCTCGACATGAGACTGTGTCTCAAAAACTTATATAAAATAACGTGCCAGCAAGATGGCTAAGCAGGTAAAGGTACCCGGCTGCCAGTGATGAGAGTCTGGTATCCTGGAACTCACGTTAAGTAGAAGGGAGACTGACCGCACAAAGTTGTCCTCTGACCTCCATGGGAGCCTACAACATGTGTTAATGAGCACGCACGCACACGCATATACACCAAACACATCCACATACTTTCTCATGCACACATAGTACACACCCCCACACAATAGTAATAAACAATAAAATAATTAACAAAGAAAGGCATCATACAGACATTGCTTAAAAGATATAAAAATGACTGAGAGCCGTGTGGAAAAGGAATCAGCATCACTAATAACCAAAGAGAAATTGAAACTAATACAAAGTACCTCATACCCGAAGGGTGGCCCTATCAAAACAGGTAACTATTGCTGAGGATGTAAAGGATAGGACCCTTGACACACATGATGGTGAGCATGTAGGTTGCTGCAGGCATTGTGGAAACACGGTATGGCGGGGCTTAAGGAAATGACGAAATGGGACAGCGGGATGTTTCTGCTGGTGAAATCATTTGCTATGGAGCCTAACAACTTGAGTTTGATCCCCTGGACCTACATGGCAGGAGAGAACCGACAACTGAAAGCTGGCTGTCCTCTGACCTCCACCTGCGTGCATGAGGGACACCTCAATACGTGCATATATTCTTTAAAAAACTAAAGAAAGAAGGGAATGGCTTGGCGGTTAAGAGCACACACTATTCTTCCGGAGAAGCCTTGGGGCAGCTCAAACACTTTTAATTCCAGCTCCACATGATCCGACCCCCTCTTCTGACCTCCAAAGGCGCCTGCACTCACACCACAGAATCCTAACACATACGCATAATTGAAAAGAAATATTTTTTAAAAAGCATAGATAAACTAAAGGTAGACGCCCATGTGGCACAGGAATCCCTCTGCTAACCTGGTCTCTGTGCTCACTGCAGCTCTGTCCACAATGCTCAAGGCACAGAAACACCCTAGGTAATGGTTGATGAAGAAAACGTGGTTCATACAGCACACACGGGACTGTTGCTGCTCCGTGGAAAAGAAGATTTCACTGTTTGCCACACCATGGATGGTCTTGGAGGGCGTTATTCTAAGCAAACGGGTAATGGAAGAAAGAATAATACATAACCTTACTTAGATGTGGAGTCAAGAAACAAAAGCTGAGTTCTCGAAGACAGATAAGGAAACAGTGGTTACCACAGTGGGGGTGGAGGAGGAAACAGAGCCATGGCCGTCAAAGGACACAGATTATCAGCCATGAAGGAGGAACAGGTTTGGGGACCAAAATTAATTGAATTGTAATGTTTGGGGGATTTTTAATAGCTCTTGTCAAGAACAAAGCAAAGATGTGCGATGACAGATACCCAATCTTCCTCACCATCGTAACCAGTGACTGTCTGTCTGTCTGTCTGTCTGTCTCTCGCAGACTGTGCTGCAGCTGGCGCATACATACACAAAATTTGTTAAAAGCCCCCAAACGTGAGCATGTACCAGGGACATAAATAAGAATATGCCATAAAGTATAACGAGTGTCGTCAAACACGGCTATTCAAGAGGGAAAATAAATGCAAGGAACTAAAAAAAAAATCCATGACTTCTCTTTTCGTGGCAGGATCTCATGTGTCACAGCTGAGCTTAAAGTCACTCTGTGCTGTGATCACAGGCTCCACGGCCCATTCACACAGTGCTGCGGAAGGACCCGGGGGCATGCTGGTACACTACCACCTGAGCTTCAGCCCCAGCCCTACAGCGGGAAAACCTACAAAGCTAGTATAAAGTACTACACACCTAAGCAGTCTGGAGACAGAGGACAGAGCTGGATTCTCAGTGCCCCTGTCAGGTGGCTTACAGCCACCTGTAACTCCAGCTCCAAGGGATCTGAGGCCCTCTTCTGGTCTCCATGGGCACCTTCATGCATGTGAGTACCCTCCCACACACACACCTGAGCACTTCCCTATACACACACACACACACACCTGAGCACTTCCCTACACACACACACACACACACACACACACACACACATAACACATCTACATGAATTGAATCCTGAGGGTGGGGCAGATATTATTACATTATCGATATAATACATATCATTATGTTGATAATCCCAAGAAGGGGATTATCCACATGTGAGAAGTAGGTATTACAGAGCAAGCAGAATATTTCCAGACCTGTACTCTGATTGCCCTGGTGCTCAAGAGGCCACAGCAGAGAGGTGATTTTACCTTCCTGCCCATGTTTGGATGGTGCATCTTTCAGTGATGCATAGTTATAGCTGGACAAAAGGACAAAGCAAGCTTAGTTCTGAGGGAAAAAAAAGTGTTCGTGTGTTTTCCTGTGTAAAATGTACAATGAAAAGAATTGTCGTGTTGAAAAGTGATGACATGCTGGGCGGTGGTGGCACACGCCTTTAACTCAGTTCTCAGGAGGCAGAGGCAGGCGGATCTCTGTGAGTTCGAAACCAGCCTGGTCTACAGAGCTAGTTCCAGGACAGCCAAGGCTAATAAATAAATAATTAAAGAAAATAAAAAGAAAAAAAGAAATAGAAAGAAAAGTCATGACCAACCATCATGGTGACACTGACCTAGGATCCACCACCCGGAGGTGGAGGCAAGAGGATCAAGATTCTAAGACCATCGTCCTGACAAGGTAAGTAGGAGGCCAGTCTAAGCTATACCCTAGCTCAGAAAACAAACAAGCAAAAAAGACACAGAACACAACAACATCTCCTATTACTGCTGGAAAATAAACGCTGAAAAGGGAGGGAAAACCCATGGAATAAGAATAAAGCTAAAAATTTTCAAATTATAAATGAATTGGTATATTTTCTGTAACCACATGAAAAACTTATCTGTGAATGCAATTGAACACATTCTCTCTCCCTCTCCCCCCCATCCACACAGAGGCACACACAGGCAGGCACGCACACACACTCTTTTTCACATACACACAGACATGTAAACACATGCATTCGTATTTATTGTCAGAGAAGTCTTGCTGCATCTAATCTCATTCAGAGTGGCACCTGTTGTATGCCTGGCACTGTGTAGTTCAACTGCACTTCCACAACCAACCCCTCACAACCTGCATTACAAAGCGGACCCTGATATTTGTTCAGCCTCTTCTACTTCAAGGAAGTGGGGATTTTTACCCCAGCTGGGGGCACAAGAAGGCATCTATGCTGAGGGTAGAGACTGGGTTAGGGTTCTTTCTGTGTGACTGGGCTCTGGTAATTCATCTTACTTTTCCCATCGTCCTCACTGTGTCTCCTGCTTTCCCTGAAAGTCTATGAGTGACCTCCCGGCCCAGAAATCCTGCCGATTTCAACATTGTCCTTGCACACTCACTGAGTGGTTTCTGGTTACCAAGTTTCTCAGAACAGTCTTCTGTTTGCAAGGAACGCCACATTTCAGAGTTTATCTGTACTTCAAAACAGTTTGGGGTATTGCCACTGTTCTTGATTGCCACTAGAAGTAGACCGTGAGACCGTGTCACTGAAGACTCCCTACAGGGTATACAGAACTTGCTGGAGGTTTCCTCCTTGAGGGATACTTCCAGGCTGCCAGAAGGTGCTTTGCAGGCTGGAGGGGGGTGTGGGGGGGAGGGGAGGACACTGTCACCAACAGTCTTACTCTGCTGCAAACAGCTTGTGCTATACTGCCATTCTGCCAGGCGTGATATACACTCTGGGGTAATAGGGGCACAATCGTTGTGGGGCAACCAGTGCTTTCTGATTGGATTTGAGGCCTTTTCTGCAGGAAAGAATCCATTCCCGCTGCTGTAGACCTGTAACAAGCCTTGGCGGGCCTCTCAAAATTCCTAATAGGGACACTGCTGTTGCCCTTTTGCTCAGTAGTTATTCTTTGTTTTCTCTTCACTGTTGAGAAGCACACATTGGTGTCACAGTTCCCCCACCCAGCCATCCACTAGGGAGGAGTTGCTGGCTAGCTAGGGTACAGGGACGATCCCCTCTCAACACCCTCTCCCATGCTCAGATGAGCTCCTCAAGCAAGGAATAGAGCTAGAAAGAAAACTCAGGCCCTCCTACTGGTACCTTGGAGCACCCACCCAGACCACACTTCCTCCCTGGTTTTCAAGGGTACATTAACATAAGACAATGGCACTTTCAAAAAGCCACCCGAAAATAGGGGTGCTTCAACCTGCCTGATCTACAGATTTGTCAGAGCAAGAGATGCTGTCTGGGATGTTTCCCTTCACCAGCTCCAGTCAGAGATGACCCCATTCAGGTGAGAGTGTCAGTTCATGACCAAATGATATATTGTGTCTTCTCCTGGAGGGTGGGGTCTGCAGCTGCTCCTTGCTGCATGCCTTTGTAGATGGCGGACAGACACGTATTGTGACATGAATTCTGCCACATCTGGACAACGGCAATAAAATGTGGGTGGAGGCTAAGCAAGAGGTGAGTGGAAGGGCAGGGCAACGGCCCTTTCTTCAAGGTTCCCGCACCTCCATTGGCATGAGAACCATTTAGACTCATAGGTGAGAGCAAAGGAAAAGTCTCAGCACTTTTCTTTGCTTATGTTGAGGATACATTTTTCTTTTGGTTCCCCCTTACACACCTGTAGTACTGGGGGGTACAGAAAACTGACCAGGCTTCAGCCCAGGCTTCCAGGTCCATTCCAGAGCCCAGGGTGTCTGCTTGCTGTGTTCTTTCCCACCTGGCATATGCTCAGGTGCCTCCTGCCAGGGTGGCCATTGTCTGACAGTCACAGGGACAGCCGATCTGCCACAAGCCCTTTCTCTGTGTGCCTGGGCTTGTTGTGACAATTACCAATTTGAAGGGGGTCAGATTAAAATGACCAAGGAGTCCATTGTGCCCTTTGGAAGCAAAGGGATTTGAAAGTGGCTTAGGAAGTGGTTGAGAGGGACCTTGGAGGGGAGAGCAGTTGCCTCCCGGGAGTTGAGGGGAGTCAGGTAGGGCTTCTGCCCCCCCCCACCCCCAGGCTCCCAGCTGCACACCTGCACCCTTTATTGTGGGGATGCTATATAGGGCAGCTCTCCACCCTACAGCACCCCCAAACCTCTGTGTTCGTTGGGGCTGAAGGAGCGAGCTCAGAAAGGCCGACATGCCTGTCACCACACTCATTTCCCAGCCTCCTCCAAGTTCCCCGGGCCTTCTCAGTTCATTCGTTTCTCTCCGCCTTTTCCAGTTAGCTCTGTCCTACCGACCTGTCACCTTCAAGGCTCACACTAGCTTCTTGAGTATGGCTTAACTCTGCATCATGAGTGCACAATATATATCAACAACAGGCAGTATGTTTAAAATAAAAGGCAAATATGGGTTTGGTCTTTATTATTTGAGAGCTCAAGTTAGGTCTCATGTAGCCCAGGCTGACTTTGAACTTGGAGGATGGCAGGCTTACAGGCTCAGACCAATCACAGGCTGTTTACAGAGAGCTGTTTTGATTTTCTTTTTCCTCTCTGCATTGAACCTACAGCCTCAAACATGGTAGTCAAGTGCTCTACCACTAAGCTATATGTATCCTTAACAGAAAATACTTTAAAAATTGGTCTTGACAAATGTAATATGATTTTACTTATAGAAGGTACCCAGAGGTCAAATTGATGGAAACAAAATATACAACAGAGCTGGGTGGTGGTGGCGCACGCCTTTAATCCCAGCACTTGGGAGGTAGAGGCAGGTGGATCTCTGTGAGTTCGAAGCCAGCTTGGTCTACAAGAGCTAGTTCCAGGACAAGCTACAGAGAAACCTTGTCTCAAAAAAACCAAACCAAAACAAAACAAACAAACAAACAGAGAGAAGAGAACCCCCAGTTAGTGTTTAAGGAGCTTGAGTTTGTAGTTTCTGTTTAAGGAATTAGAAAAGTTATGTGAGACCCTGTCTCAAACAAACAAACAAAAAGAATAGATGGTCCTTTGGCCTGTGAGCATATACTTACAAACCCACACATAAAAGTGTACATACTACACACACACACACACACACACACACACACACACTTATATATACACAACTAAGACACACACACCCCCAATTCCTCTGGCTGAATAGCAGTCAGCTTCATGGAAACAGAAAACAGAGTAGTGGTTTCCGAGGCCTGAGTAGGGGACCGAATGCTGTGTTGGGTGAGTCCTGAATCCTGCTTAGGACAGTGAAGAGGTTCTCATCCGCGAGAGAGGGAGGCGATGGCTGCACATGGCAGGAGCGGGGCTTCTGCCACTGTGCTACTTGCTCGACTCTTGGGCTTTGTGTGTGTTTAAAGACAAACACAAACACTAGGTAACTCCTGAATTGTGTGACAACCTGTGAATGAAGCTGAGACACAGCCAGGCAAGGGGTGAAAACAGCGCTGAACCGGGCTGGACTGCTGCCCCAGCATCCTACTGTGAAGGCCCTGCGGGTGGAGTGTGTCTCTGCCACCAGCACAGCTCCCTGGTGAGGTAACAGGCTTCCATGTTCTTCTTCCTTTTATATGCATTATTTCTTTTTGTAAATGATATTTGGACTTTGAAGTTTCTTTAAAAATAATCAGCAAAAATCAGGCATGGTATTGAGAACCATAATCCCAGGATGGGCAGGTGGAGGCAGGAGGATCAGAAGTTCAGGGTCCTCTTTGGTTATGTAACAAGTTTAAGGCCTGGTTTACCTGAGACCCTGTCTCAAAAGAAAAAGTAATTGTAACAATATACATTGTATATTACTTGTAGAAGTTTAGAAATAGGAACAAAAGAGCAAGGGCCATCTTGGTGTTTTTATTTATGTTTTAAAAACATTTTCACATCATCATAATTATGTTGAATGTATGTGTTTATAAAATATACTGTAAACATCCAACTCTGTACATGTTTTCCATAATTCTAATACTTCATGTTAAAGTTCAAAATCATGCTGTCTATTCCTTTGGGGAAGCATTTCAGTTGCTGCCCACGTTCACATCTCTGCATCCCTTGGTGCTGAGTCTGAGATGACATCCACTGTATGTCTGTGTAGCCCTCGGTGCTGAGTCTGAGATGACATCCACTGTATGTCTGTGTAACCCTCAGTGCTGAGTCTGAGATGACATCCTCTAAAGCAGCTTTCCATGTTGGAATGACTGGGTACATGGGTGCAAACATTTTTATAGACTGGCCTTTTTTTATAAAATATTTTTAAATTTTAATTGATATAATTATAATTTATGGAATACAGGATCTTACTCCCCACCACACACACTCACACACACACACACACAAAAAAAAAACAATAAACAAAAGCAGCTTCCTGTATCCCAGACTGGTCTCTAACTTGCTCCGTGGTCAAGGATGACCTTGAACCCCCAATGCTCCTGGCTCTGCCTCCTGAATGCCCAGGAGCACAGGTGTGCACCACCCTTGCCAGGCCTGTTTTCCATTGGCTTCTTTGGAGTTTGCTGCTGAGTTGGTTGAGTCCTTACTGCTTTGGATGCAATCCCTTGCTGGATTCTTGGCAGTTATTTTCTCCCGTTCTGCAGTCTGCCTCATCACGGTCCCCATTGCTGCCAAAAGCTAATTTATTTGAAATGATTCATTTGTCAAGTTTTGGTTTTGTTGCCTGTATTTGGGGGATGGTATTCAAAAACTTATTTCCCCATTTTGTACTACAGATTTTTGTTTATTTTTATTTTATTATTGTGTATGTGTTATACATGTATGGGCAAGTGTGCCATGGCCTATGTGTGTAGTCCAGAAAACAACTCTATGGAGTCGGTTCTCTCCTTCCACCTTTATGTGGGTTCTGGGGATCGAACCCAGGTCACCAGGCTTGTGCAACAAGCTCTTTTACCTGGTAAGCCATATTGCTGGTCCCAAGCCACAGTGTTTTTGTATCTGATTTCAGATTGCTTTCTGGGTCACCACCCCTCCCTCCCAGTGTCATCCTTCCTCACATCGTGTTACAGACGGTAGTCATCTCTTCAGCACTGATACAGCTTCATTAAGATTGCCACATCCCTCCCCCCAGTTTCCAAATGATCACATATGTACTGTACAAAGAAATGGGTTTTCCTTACGGCATTTTCATGTTTGTGTCGTCTGCACCTTCCCGTTTCCCTTTCTTGCCCCCCTCACCCATCATTACTACCCCTTCCTTTCTCCTTATAGACCACCTTCCATTTTCATGTTACACACTTCCTTTTTTAAAAAAATATAGATTCTATGTATGAGCGCAAACATACAGAGCCATCTTCCTGGGTCAGGCTTATTCTTTTTAACACACTGGTCCCCAGTTCCATCCACTTTCCCATGAATGAGGTCATTTACTCTACTTTACGAGTGAGGAGCGCTGCACTGTGTGCATATATTTCTTCACCTGCCGAGGCACCGCTAGGTTGGCTCCACGGTTTCGCTATTGAAAACGGTGCTACAAGGCACATTTCAGTGCTGTACTGAGGTACATTTTCCCCCCAGGAATATACTTAGGAGTCGTGACACCGAAGCCATTGGGTGGTTCAACTGATGACTTAGGGTTTTGAGAAATCCCCATACTGATTTCCATAGTGGTTGTCACTTTTGTTTCTATTAATAATGTGTAATAAAGGCATCTTTCCCCCATATTGTGGCCAGCATTTGCTTGTTTGTATTTTTGTCAATTTTGAAATTTTATCTATTTATTCAGTACGTGTATGTGTGCATGTGAGTGTATATGTGTGTATGTGTGCATACATACACACAGTCCATATGTGGAGGTCAGAGGATGGCTTGTGGGAACCAGCTCTCCTCTTCTACCATGTGGCTTCCAGGGTTGGAACATCAGACTTGACAGCAAGCACCTTTATTGGCTAAGCTATTTTACCTGCCCTTGTTTTTCCTTCTTTTCCTTTCTTTCCTTTCTTCTTTCTTTCTTTTCCTTCCTTCTTTTCTTTTCCTTTCGAGAAAGAGTTTCTATTTGTAACACTAGCTGTCCTGGAATTCACTATGTAGACCAGGCTGGCCTGGAACTCACAGCGATCTCCCTGCATCTGCCTCCCATGTATTGGGAATAAAAGCGCGCATACCTGGTCCCTTGTTTTCTTAGTGAAATTCATAGTGATAAGTAAGATGGAGTCCTAATACAGCTTTGATGGGATTTCTGGATCAGTAGCCAAAATCTTAGCGGTGTGCTCTTCCCAAGTGAGTGCCTTTTCCTTAAACAGGCAGCCTCATGCTTACAGAGCCGAAGCAGAGCAGTGTGCTGTAAACAAGGCAGGAACGCAAAACCTGGTCCGTGCTGGGCTGTACTCAGGGACAAATCAGGGCGCAATGACTCTAGGTACAATCCAGTTTGTCATCTCTGAGCCTGACATTGAAGTGCTAAGGGCACTGACCTAAGCCACAGACAGAGCCTGAAGCAGTGGCCAAGTCAGCACCAGCTTTCCCATGGGGACAGAGCAGGAAAAGCCTACCAGAAGGGCAGGGGACAGGGGATAGAGGCCTCTGAAGCTCACCATTTGGAGAGAGCTGAGTATGTGGGGGCTACCCCATCACCCGCGACTGAGCTGGGGGCTTGCTAAAAGTGAAAGTGCTTTTTGGAGGGCTCTGGAGGTGTCTGCTGCTGGAGAGGAGATGTTCCACCCCCGGGGTCCACACCAGCTTCAAAACAGTGCCTCTGTTTGCTTTCAGCTGAGGCCCCTTGGTTGCCTCTGCTACTTCTAGATGTTTCTGAGGTTACAGCAGGCCACAGCATGTTCCAGCCCAGGCAGAGGCAGTATGAAAGTCAATGCCAGAATGAGACCCTCCCCTGCCCCCTCAGCACAGCTCAGCTGAGAGCAAAGCCTCCTGCAGGCTCCAGAGTCTCAGCATTGTCTGGGGTGTTGTTCCCTTTCCTCCCAACCAAACAAGATAGACATCAGTCAGCCTTCCAGCAGGTGAGGAACAGGATCAGAGAGGCTCAGAGCATCCTGGAAATCACACAGCATGAATAAACTGCAGAGCTAGGATTCAGACCCAGTGGCCTGACCTGACACCTTAACCTGCGAGAGGCCTGTGACAGCTCAGTAGTCCATAAGCAAGCTTTGTGACTGTGGGGAAGGAACAGAGAAGGCCAAAGCAGCCTTACGAAAACCCGGAGTTACTGGATTTGAGAGTGATAAGACAAAAGCATAGTTCACTCCTTTAAGAGTCTGTCACTCTAAGCAAATAAAGTCAGAGAGAATCAGAGGCCGAATGGGTTACATAAGACACAAGAGAGAAAGAGAGAGGACAAGAGCAGGACAGAGGGACAGAGAGAGAGGGAGGAAGAAAACAAGAGAGGGAGAGAGAGAATGAGAGTGGGAGAGAAAGAGGGAGAAGGAGGGAAAGAGACAGAGAAGGAGAGAGAGAGGGAGAGAGAGAGGGAGAGAATGACAGCGGGCTGGGGAGATGACTCGGGTTAAAGCACTTGCCCCTCAGGACTGAGGATCAGAGTTCAGATCTTCAGAAACTCACATAAATGTTGGGTGGGCCGTGTGACCTGACTGTGAGAACAGAGGCAGGATCCCCAGCAAGATTTGAAGAGTCATAGAGGATGATTCATGACTTCAACCTCAGATACACACACACACACACACACACACACACACACACACACACACACATCCCATGAGCAAAAAATGAAAAATGTCTTTTAAAAGGAAGACAGGAGTTGGGCAGTGGTGGTGCACACCTTTAATCCCAACACTAGGGAGGCAGAGACAGGTGGATCTCTGAGATCAAGGCTAACCTGGTCTACGTACTGAGTTCGAGGAGAACGAAAGCCACACAGAAAAACCCTGTCTCAACCCCCACCCTGAAAGACATGAAAGCATAAATCACGGAGGTATAATTAAATGTCAAGATACTGGGGGGGGGGTGTTTTTTTTTTTGTGGGTGGGGTGGGGTTTTAGCTCAGTAGGTCAAAGCACACTTGGAGCCCTGGATTCCATCCCCCAGGGCTGATTTACATGACGCTGGGCATGAAACACATTTGTGTTAGACAAGCTCTCTATCAACTGAACTAACCCCAGACTCATTCTTTTTTTTTAAAGAATCTTTTTTAAAATTAATTTATTTTTATTTTATGTGCATTGACGTTTTGCCTGTGTGTGTGTCTCTGTGAAAGTGTTGAAACCACTGGACTAGAAATACAGACAGTTGTCTGTGGGTGCTGGGAATTGAACCTGAGTCCTCTGGAAGAGCAGTCAGTGCTCCTAACCTCCGAGTTATCTCTTCAGTCCCTAAGACTCCTTGTTAAGTCCTTGTGCTAATTTTTATTTGAGGCAAACCTTCACTGAGTTGTCCAAGCTGGTCCTGAGCTCACTGTTATATCCAGGCAGGCCTTCAACTTTCCACCCTTTGGCCTTGGCCTCCCTTACAGTGGGATGGCACCATTAGCCCCAGATGAAGTATTCTTGGATACAAATAGCAGCGGCCATCTTTTTGCAGGTCATACTGAAATTCACCTTAATGAAGCATGGTATTAAAATTGAGTATGACCCTGGGTCACCAGACCTCTGGGTCTGATCTGTCTTTGAGGATGCTCTCAAAACGACTTGTTTGAGGAAGGAAGACCCATCTAAATGTGCACCAAGGTCCAGAAACAAATAAAAGAAGTGAACTGGGCACCATGTTCCCTCTCGCTGCCTCCTGCCGCAGACTCCTTCCAGCTCCCACGGCTCGGCCTTCCCCTACAGCGGTAGACTGCCCTCAAACTGTGTGCAAAAACACACCTGTCCTTAAGGTGCCTTTCTCCGGTGTTTTGTAGTAACAGTGAGAAAAGTGACTAACAGCCCAGCAGAGACAGGAAAAGAGCCCTTTTCCAGCCTGCACACACGTGGGCACATCACAACAGGTGAGTCTGAGTCTCACAAATGAACAATTCCAATAAGGAACATGGGGCCAAGACCATGAGATGCTCGCTCCGCAGGTAAAGGCTTGCTGCCAAGTCTGGCAGAATGGAAGAATTGACTCCCTCGAGTTGTTCTCTGATTTTCACATGGGGTTTGCACATACACATAAATAAATAAATATATAAATAAATAAATAAGCATTTTAAAAGCATAGACGATAAACGTTTGTTCTAATATACAAAATCTCATAGCCAATCAACTATGCAAAACTATGCCTAACGTTATTTACAAAATTAGTCATCAGTCAAAAACCGCAGATTCCAAAAAGCACAGATAGAGCTACAACCTCGGGCTACAAAGAAGTAAAACTGCACATAATGAGTAAGTGAGGGCGAAGTGAAGACATGGGTAGAAAGAAAAGTTTACTGGGGATCAAACTGCCAAGACTATGGGGGAGGGGGCAGAGAAAGCAAAATGGCGGAAAAGCAAGATTTTATACAACAGTCAACAGGGTGGGGTTTTGAGCTGATGTGAACTGTTCCACCTGACCCGGAACTATATGCCCTTGTCCAAAGTGCCTGGACCTTTGTGGGTCAATGGAGGAAGGTTCCCAGTCAGTGGAAACCTGGCTTATGAGATCTACTTCCTGGTAACAAGAAAAGCACCTTTAGGCTTCTGTTTAACAGCCAGAGGTCTCTGTGTGGGGCACTGTCTCCAGCACTGTCCCCCTGGAGGCTGCTTTGGACATCTATCCACTTAGAAATTATAAACCTATTTTAATAACTCTTAGAAAAACTAACAAAAATTGAAGTTGCAGACAATCTCAAAAATCACTTGGGTCATAGCAAAAATGTAGACAGGACCTGAATGCCCACCTAATTAAGCAAAATTAATGAAACAGTATTCAATTATCCTTGTGAGCTTCTGGGTACAGATGTGATATAAGAATGTTTCTAAAGCAGGCTGGAAACTGGGATATTCACCCCTAACTCCTCCTCTGAGGTTGGCCCATGTCCCTACCCTGTCAATTTCATGTCCTCTTTTTCAGAATCCAATTTGTGCCAACACGGGTCTCATTTCTGGCTTGTAGTTGGGAGACAGAAATTCTCTTTCCCAATTTTCTCCCCGCCCCCATTCCAAATGGCTAATACTGATTCAACACCGCCCCCTGTAGGGTTGGTCTCGCTTCAATTTGAGACTGGTGATCAGCATGGTTAGACACTGGGCTATTTACTATTCCCAATCTGCACGAGTTGTTAGAATACCCATCTTTCCTAGACTTCTGAATTCTTCTTATCTTTCTTCTTTACCACCGTGCTGTAGCACACACGCACTCCTTTCCTGCATCCTTAGAAAGAACATTGGAGCAGGGCGTGGTGGCACGCGCCTATAATCTCAGCACTTGAACCAGCAAGAGGATAAAGAGTTAGTTAAAGGCCAGCGCAGGTTATTTTAGACGCTGCCTCAAAAGAAAACGAGTTGGCCTGTATCTTCTCTGAGTTCACTCCCAACTCCACATTCTAATCCCCTAACCCATTAGGACCCTCAGGTGATGCACCACCACCACCCCACCACCCCCCGCAACTCCCACGCACCACTCTTAAGTCCCAATTTCTGCCTTGGCGCTGCATACCGAGCTCTACCCTCAGAGCGCAGCAGCAAACTGGTGTACAGAAAACACCGTTTCCTCGGGCAGCAGTGAGGGAAAGTGCCGGGGGCTCTGCTCTGGGGCTTTCCTGAACAGAAAAATGAATTCATGTTCCGTAGGCGAGGGGAGATCCAGGTCCTGCATCAGTCCAGCTGGGCATTTGATCTTTGAAGCTAGCCCGGAGACTGGAGGTGAGCCTGCAAGCCTGGCTGTTGTAATCCTACCTCATCTCTCCAGCCAGCATGCTAGTCGGAAGCCAAGAGCCCTACCTTCCGCCTAGCTGGCTAACCACTTGCCCTTTCTTGACTCCACTCACAGTCAGTCTACAGTTTCTTTTGATTCTGACTCTGGTAGCCTGTAGCATCTCCTTAATGGTTTAGGTCCGCTGCGCACCTCACTGTGTCATCACGTGTTCTCTAGAGGTTGTTGCCTTCGCTCCGGTGCCCCGAAGCGCACAAGACTGCAAATCCCACGAGTGACCAGCAAGCTGCCAACGTGCACATCTCGGCAGACTGCACTTGAGAAGCTGAGTATGGAGCGATGGGGAGACTCTAGGTCGTGACTCTGACTCTGGACGCTTGCAGGGACATCCCAAAGAACTTTGCCTGAAAAATGCAGAAGTTAAACTGGGAAACATTGAGCAGAGCTTCCCAACAAAGCTCCTCCCTCAATCCCAACCAAAAGAGTAAGGACATGGGCTGGAAAGATAATGGCTCAGCGGTAAAAAAACACTAGCTGTTCTTCCAGAAGACCTGAGTTCAATTCCCAGTACCCACATGGCAGCTCATAGCTGTCTGTAGTTCTGATTCCAGGGGATCCAGCACCGTCTCACAGACATACATGTAGGCAAAACACCAATGCACATGAAGTTAAAATTTTAAAAAAGAGGAAGGACAGGGCAAGGAATGAAAAATCCCTGCTCCTTTTTCTTCTTCATTCTCCACACTGAGTTTCCCCATTTCTGACTTTCTCCTTCCCCATCTTCCAGAGAAGAAACTCTCCATGCAGGGTTTCCGACCGCAGAAGTTAGACCCGTGGCTCTGCTGGGTAGCGAAAGCAGGGTCCACCTTCCCCATGTTCCCATCGCTGCATCCTCTGTGTTACACAACTCACCTCACGGGTGGTGGATCACGAGCTGCTCAGATCCCTTCAGAAAGTCACGTGGGCTTGGCTCTCACCAGTAATGAAGTCACCGTTTAAAGAACACGGAAGGGAAACAGTTATGGTTGAACTGAGGTTGCTAACTGCCTTCTTGGCCTGGGCCCAAATGAAGCAGCTTGGGGAAAAAAAAAACACGAAGTTTCCACTGACTTTTAAAAGTTTCTATTTAGAGTAAACTGTTTCAAGATGATGGACTACCTCCCACACAAGAAAGACTGCAAACAAGGGCTCTGGGCTGGAGATCTTTTCGTAGTCTTTTGCCTGAGCTGTTGGCAGAATTCAGGACAGGCATCAAACTAAAAGGAAAGTTGAAGACTCGTTTGGTTATGGAAATTAGTGGAACACCTGGTAGCAAAGAAATCAGATTCACTAACCACCAAAGAAACTCTTCTTTAGCTGGGCTTGGTGGGACATCTCACCACCATGCAACAACCAGGGCTATAGAGTAAGAAAATTTAAAAATTAAAACAAAACAAACCCAAATTCCGATTCTAAGAGATTTGAATACGGAAGGTGTATCCATATTCAAATATACATCCAGTATATGAAGGTTCCTCAGATCCTGTCATCCTGTTGAGAAACGTAGTGGACAAAGGAGTCAAAGAGGTGATTCGAGAAAAGGAAAGTTGAGTTGCCAATCAACAAGTGGCGATATACTCAGTTTGTACCTTAAAAAACTGGGGAGGTACGAGTCTCTCTCTCTCTCTCTTTCTCCGAATAATAAAAACCCAGAGACAGATATTGAGGTTCAAGGTGACGATCACAAAAGCAAAGCAGCCAATCACTAGAGAGGCCTTTTACCTCTACCAAATCCTCAGACTGAAAGGGCAAGATTCTGTCTCCACGAATACTCAGTCTCCACACTTCAGTGAGTTCCTGACTCTTCCCTTTTATATTTTTCTCTCCGTCCAGTCATATCACTCCTGCATCTACCTCCCTAGTGCTGGGATTAAAGGTGTGTGACTCCCAAACACTGGGATTAAAGGTGTGAGCTACAACTACCTGGATCTGTTTCTGGATCGATCTTGTGTAGCCCAGGGTAGCCTTGAACTCACAGAGATCTATCTCCAAGTCCTGGGAAAGGTGTAGGCTATGTTCTCCTGGCCTCTAGTAGCTTAGCTTTGCATTCTGATGCTCAGGAAAACTTTATTTATTAAAATACAAATATCATTACTCTCTCTATGTCTCTGTCTCTCTGTCTCCCTCTCCAGTTAGGATGGAGTTCCATGCTGTCCAGCCTGATCTTGAGCTTTCGGTGTAGTCAAGGATGGCCTCGAACTTCTGATCCTCCTGCTTCTGTTTCTCCGATCCTAGGATTACATCATATGCTGCTATACTCAGTTCATGAGATACTAACAAACAAACACAGGGCTTCATGTGTCACAAACAAGCAACCCTACCCAGGATGAGAAGACTTTAGATTTGAACTCTACCTAACACATACAGGGATGTTGCTTACAGTGTTGATTGTAATAGTGAAAAAACAGAACCAGTCTTAAAGATCTGTCAAAAAAGGAACGGATGAATGAACGGTGGCAATGGCTGCAGAGCCCTCTTCTTCTTGTATTTCCTTTACCTCAAGTGTGAGAGCTTACACAACCATTTATTCACTTAAAAATGATTGTGGCGAGATGCCCATTGTCTTCAGCATTTTGAACTTGGATAGTTAAGTAGCAAACAGATTCACACTGTTAGACAGATGGCCACAGCCTTCTCGGAAGCATGCCTCATCTTGCAAAAGTGAAACTCAGCCCTATTCACAGAAACTTCCCACCCCACAGCCTGCCTGGCAATTATCACTCTATTTCCCTCTGAGGCTGACCCCACTGGCGTCCTAAGGAGCTCGCCTCTTGTGAGCCGTTCATATCACTTAACAAGAGATTTTTAAGCCTCATCCACACTGAAGCACACTTCTGGAAACTCTCCCTTCTTAAAGCCAAACAGTATTATTTTTATTTTATGTGTATGAGTGTTTTGCCTGAATGTATGTATATATACCACATGCTTGCCTGGTGCCCTTGGAGGCGAGAAGAGGGTGTCAGATCCCCAGAACCTGGAGTTACAGAGAACCAACCCTTTGCTCTTACCTGCCACACCTTTTTTCCTGAACTGTATTTGACAGCATATGATATGCTGACTTCCAGTTGTGTGTTTACCCGTGTGTGGACACTGCTTCCACGTTAGCTCTCGTGAATGTTGCTATAAGACTTGTTTTTAACTAGACATCAGTGGCTTTTCATCATCAAATACCTATTTCCAATGGAAACGTTATTTAAAATGGAACTTCAAGAGCAATCCTGTGGCCTACAAGCAGCATGCCATTCCTACCTCAGCCATCATCCATTTTAAAGACAGAAGAATCTAGTAACTTTGAGGAAATTTTCATTACTTTTTCTTATCTCCTTGAATATAAGATTTTTGAAATTTTTTTTGAGAGTCTCATGTACCCCATGTTAGATTCAAACTCAACTATGTAATATTGCCGAGGCTGGCCTTGAACTGATCCTCCTGCCTCAGCCTCCCAAGTGCTGGAATTGCAGGTGTGCACCAGCACGCACAGCTCTGAACACAGGAATTTCACCTCTGCAGAAGTTTATTTTCATGTCACATGTGATATGAAAGCAGAAGGGGGTACTGCTTGGGGAGAGGAAGGGGCCAATGAGAGAGTGGCAGGGGAGACGGGAGAAGGTGGTGAGATGGGGCTTGAGCAAAGTATAATGACATACAAAAATGAGAATGCCATAATAAAACCCATTGTTCTGCATGCTAACTTAAGAATCAAAACATCTTCTTTATTAACATCTATTTTAGGTTTCTGTACACGTGTGCCTATGTGAATCTTTGCCACCTGTGGACATGCCCAAAGAGTCCAGAAGAAGGCAATGAACACCCCAGAGCTACAGGTAATTATGAGTCTCCCTACGTAAGTGCTGGGGACCAACTTGGTCCTTTGAAAGAACAAGTGCTCTTACCTGCTGAGCTTTCTCCCTGCCCCTGTTTTTTTGAGATGAGTCTCATTATGTAGCCCAGGCTAGCCTCAAACTCACCGAGATCCATCTGCCTCTGCCTCCCCAGGGCTGAGATTAAAGATGTGACCCACCATACCCAGCTAATAAAATTTTAAAGCTAAGTAATCTTCAATATCTCATCAGAGCTATTTAGGATGGCGATGTTGGGGGCAGGGATGAGAGGCCTGGGACCACTTGCATTGCTCCTTTTGACAGAGTGCCATGGCATCGTCATCTCACAAGAAAAAGCACCATCTTAAACATAACTGGAGAGAGTGAAATTGGTAGATGCCAATAGAAGGTCATGGCTTATTTCCATGATGAGTCTGGGTTCAGCATCCATGGTTTTCCTCTTTTGTTTGTTTGCCCTGAAAGTCTTAGTCTTGCAGGTAAGCAGTTGCTTTGCTACAATTCACCAGTCGTTTGACTTTTGCCAAATTTTTTTTCAAGAGGAAAAAAGAGGCAAGCATAACAGCAATCTACCATCACATTTCACTTAGTTTTGTTTATTTACTTACTGTGTGCGTGTGCATACGTGCGCACATGTGCACACATTTGCCATGCTATATGCACATATGGAGGTCAACGGGACAGCTTCTAGAACTGGTTTTCTCCTTTTCCTCTGGGCTTTAGGAACCAAATTGCAGTCATCAGGCAAAGCAGGTGCTTCTAAAGGTCAGACAACTACTTGTGCGTCCCAGGGATCGCATTCAGAGCATCAGGCTGGCAGCAAGCGTCTTTACCTTCTGAGCAATCGCACCACCAGCCCCTGAGTGAATATTTCCTGAGGACTAGATGTGGCACTCTGGTACAAACATGAACCCAACCAGGTCTCTTCTTCAAGAGGCCATGGGTGTGGTAGGCTAGTCCAAGTATGCTCAAGGTCCAGATGACACAGAGAAGGACATGCATAGTCTTTATTGCTTGGAACTGGGAATGCTGGGAAAGGAAAATTCCAATAGGAAAGCTGCCTCGTCCATCTGGGTCTTTGTTTTATTTTCTCTTGTTTTGTTGAGATGGGCTTTCATCATGTAGTCCAGGCTGGCCTTGAACATCCTAGTAGCTGAGGATGACTGAACTCCTGATTCTCCTGCCGCTCTTTTCACATGCTAGAATTAGAGGTATGCGCCACAATACAGTGCTCGAGCTGAGTCTTGTAGAAGAGTTTGCGAGCAGAGAATAATAGTACATTTGATGGCACTGAGGCAGGAAGGAGCTGAGTTTCCATGGAGGAATGGATACCAAACCTAGGAGAAGTGAAGAAGTCAACTAGGAGGGAGGGAGGAGATGGGGCCACGGGGACAAGTGTCACAAGGCCTCACAGGCAGAAAAAGACCAACCAACATTCTCCAAGGGGCCTTGGGGAGCCCTTTTGGGCTCATGTATTGAGCTCCCAGGATGAAATTTTTACTGAAAGAGACCAAAATAAAAAGAAGTTGATCATTTCAGAAACTATTACAAAGGTCCAAAAAGCAACCTAGTTCAACTTGGAGTGGATGTGTCTCAAGTAGGGAAACATAATGAAAGAAGTGAGACTGATATTTTTATTATGTATGTATGTATGTATATATGTGTGTGTGTCTGTATGTATGTGTGAATATATGTGTGTGCATGTATGTATGCATGCTAATATGTGCACATGTAAATATGTATTATGCATTGTGTGCATGAATATATGTGTATATGTATATACGTATGTATGCATGTATTCGTATGTGTGTGTGTGTGTGTGTATGTATGCATGTAAGATGTATTTTGGGTATTATGGAAGTTTAAACTCCCGTAATCTCATAGGGAGAGGCACTATTAGAGGTGTGGCCTTGTTGGAGAAAGTGTGTCACTGTGGGGGTGAGCTTTGAGGTCTTGTATATGCTCAACCCATGCCCAGTGTCTCAGTTCACTTCATGTTTGCCTATGGGAGCAAGATGTAGCTCCTTCTCCACTCTCAGCTCCTCCAGCACCACGTCTGACTGTGTGCCACCTTATTCCGCCACAATGACAATGGACTAAACCTCTGAAATGGTAAACCACCCAATTAAATGTTTTCCTTTATAAGAGTTGCTGTGGTCATGGTGTCTCTTTATAGCAGTCGAAGCCCTGACTAAGTCAGGCATAGCACTGAGGCTTGAACTGGGGATCTCACATGTACTCGGTGAGTCCTCGACCAGAGCTCTACCCTGAGTCCTCCACAGGCATGTGCTTATAGTATAATGTGTTTGGTTATTCTTTGAGAAACTCATACGTACATGCAATGTTATTTTGATTTTGTCGCCACCACATTCACTCTCTGACTCCTCCCAGGTCACCCCGTCCCTCCTCCCAACCTCATGTGCTCTTTTTCTCTTTATTTTGATAACCCACTAAGTCTAATGCTACCCATACGCACATGGGTATGGGGCCAGCCGTGGGAGCATGCTCAGCCTGCCAGGGACCACACCCCTAAAGAAACCTTACTCTCCCTGTCCTCGGAGCCATCAGCTGCCAACAGTTCCTGCACTAGTCGTGGGTCCTCAGTGTCCCTCCCCCACGCATGCCCTGTTGTTCCCTGGCTTGTTCTTCTTCAGCTTGGGCAGGCAGTCACAGCTGCTGTGACTTCATGAAAATGAACAGGGCTCTAAAAAGAAGCCATGAAAATGGCAAAAAAAAACTATTTTTAGCCATTAGGGGAATGAAAATTAAAATCACCTTGTGATTTTCTCTTACTCTGGTTAGAATGACTGAAATAAAAATAAACGACAAGGAAGCTACCAAGGGTGTGGGGAAAGGGGGCCTTCTGTTCGCTGCTGGCGGGCGTGTGATCTGGTACAGCTACTCTGCAAACCAGGGAGAAGATGACTTAAAAGACTAGAAATAGGACCACTATAGGACCCAGAGTATCAAGTATTGTGTACACATATATGCACCTATACATACATCCGCATAGGTATGCGCAAGCACGCGTGTGCGCACACACACACACACACACACACACACGACTCATTAGACTGCTGTATAGCCCATAGTCTGAGTAGACAAACAATGGCTGTCCCCTGACAGAAAGGCCAAAGATCTGGCAGTTGTCAGTCCATGAGACTGATGTCGCAGCTGTCCCCATCTGGTGCTGGAGTCCCAGGGAAACCCTACGGACTGCTGAGTGTTCAGACCGTGTTGAAATCCTGAATAAGTAGGCTTTAACACCATTGAAGGGATGGCTCAGGGGCAGAATCGATGCGCTTGTCAGGGAAAGTGAGGGCACATGGGAGAAGCAAATTCTTCCTTCTTCCACATCATGTTTCCTTATGTGTGCTGCACCAGGAGGTGTGGCTCAGATTTAGGATGGATCTTCCACCTCAAGTCACCCCACCAAGAGAAATCCCTCCCAGGTGTTCCCAGCTACTTGGGTTTAGTTAATTCCAGATGCAGTCAAACTGACAAGTAAGATTAGCTGTCACAGTACTACTCCTGGGAATTCACCCAAAGGATGACAGATCCTGCTGTGGAGACACTTGTTTATCCACACTCACTGATGCTCTGTTCATAATAGCTAAGGCTTGCAAACAGCCTGGGTGTCCCTCAGCTGATGAATGGTGGCACATTTACGCAAAGGGTTCTTCTTCCTCAGCTGTAAAGAAAAATGAATGTGCAGATTAACAGAACTCTCATCCCTAATCAGAGAAGCTAATAGAGTGGAAAGTGTTAATATGATGACTCCCAGCCAGTCAGAGCATGGAGAATAAAACTGTGGAGTGCCCAAACAGGAATGGGACATCTCCATTACTCACCTTCCCCTGACGCTCAGGGGATGTCAGGGAAGGAGAAGCAGGAAAGATTCGAGAGTCAGAGGCTGCTGAAACAGTATCTTCCAGACATAGCAGGACCACTTGATACATAGTTGTGACTAAGATACAATGAGCTCCTGGTAACTCCAGAGTTACCTGTTCTGTCTCTGAGCTGATGAGGGAAGCAGCCGGCCACTTCGGAGTCAGGATTCCAGGATGTCTCTGCAAATCCTTATGAACATTGATGACAGGGGTCTTTCCCACTGCAGTGATTCAGGCTTCCATAGTTAAGATCATTTCACTCCCACGTTTTAAAAACACAGGACAAAGCTCACTCAGGGGTGCCTTGGTTACTTTTCTATTGGGATAAAATACCACAACCAGAGCAACTTATCAAGGCAAGCACTTATTTGGGGATTAAAGTTCCAGAGGGATCGAAATCCATCCCCATCATGGTGGGAAGCACAGTGATGGGCAAGCAGACACGGCGCTGGAGCAGTAATTGAGAGCTCACATCCCCATCCACAAAGAGGAAGCAGAGAAAATGACAGCCTGGAAAGCCTGCTCCCAGTGACACACCTGCTCCAACAAAACCACACCTCTTAAGCCTTCCCAAATAGTTCCACCAGCGGGTCACCAAGTATTCAGCAAATGAATCCATGGGTCATTCTCATTCAAGGCCAGACAAGGCTACCATCTGTTCTGTCTTTCATATCTTTACAAATAAAGGTCCAGCCATGGCGGTGGATATCTTTGCTCCCAGCACTGGTAAGACAGAGGCAAGCTGATCTCTGAAAGTCTGAGGCTAGCTTTGTCTACATAGTGAGTGAGTTCCAGGCAAGCCAGGGCTACATAGTGAGAGCTTGTCCTTTAAAAAACATGACAAGAGCCCGCGGTGGTGGCGCATGCATTTAATCCCAGCACTCAGGAAGCACAGGCAGACAGATCTCTGTGAGTTTGAGGCCAGCCTGGTCTACAAGAGTTAGTTCCAGGACAGGTCCCAAAGATACAGAGAAACCAGGTCTTGAAAAAAACAAAAAACAAACAAACAAAAAAAGAACCAGAACAAGACATTTGTGCGACAGAGTACAGTCATTGTTCTTTGTGGCACCCCTTTCTTCAGGCCATCCCATGTGCATATCACATGATGGGCGCAGGAGATCAGATGCTATGCTGGACAGGCCCAGCCCCCGCTCTCTGCACACCTGGGCTAAGCGAGCAAGTGTCTTAGAACCGTGCAGTCACATCAGCTCAGCTGCCTGCTCCAGGGCGGATGCCACTGTGGTTAACATTGAGACATCGGCTTCTGTGAAAAATATTATTGGGGTCACAGAAGCTCTTTGGTGGGTTTGACATGTTGCTTCGGCATTCCCCTCACCTCCCATGGTGCTCTGTGCAAAGGGGGACGGCACCCTTGTGTCTCACAGTTTCTTAGCTGTGAGACTTGAAGACCCCTAAGCCGGCCACAGCTCACTTCTGCGAGATTGAAATGGGACAATGCTTTCCACCCCAACTCTGTCCATCTTCCTACTTGGGGACCTCGTTCTGAAGATGCACATAACTGAAGGTTAACTGTGACCCTTGTCTGAAAATATTTGAGCATCTTTCCACCCTCTTTCATATTCTTCTGACTGTACCCTTTGGCCAGCAGGGTCCTGTGAACAAGTTTCTGCAGGAGGAGCAGGACCAAGTAAAATAGGAGCCTGTCATCTAAAACAAGCTTTGTTGTATGGATGGCCTAAGCCTATGCACTTCCTTGCTGTCCTCATTCATGTAAGTTCAGCGAAGCGCTGTGTCTGCCCAGAGACACACACACGCGCGTGCGCACACACACACACCCATGTACACAAATATCTATATACACATATATATTACACACATATATACACTCTATACGCATATACATGCATGCATATGCACTATACACATACACACACACACACTCACAGACACAGGCATGCACATACGCTTGTTGGTCATTACCAAGGCTTTTCTTTCTCTAATACGCTCATCTTCTATTTGAAGGCATTGTGTGAGGCACCAGTAAGATAGCTACCAGGGTAAAGGGGCTTATTGCCAAGCCTGGCAACCTGAGTTCAATCCTTGAAACCCACATAGTAGAAGGAGAAAACTGACCCCCCATAGTTGTCTTCTGACCTATAGTTCTGAGGCACATTAGGGTACACACACATACACACACACAGTAAACAAACAAACAAACAAACTTATTCTTTTTCTTGTAGGCCAGGCTGGTCTTGAACTCACAGAGATCCGTCTGTCTCTACCTCCCGAGTGCTGGATGTGTGTGTGACACCACTACCCTAAACATATGTTTTTAAAAGGAAAGTGTTGTGTAAACTTTATAATTTCAATGATACAGTGTTACAGGAATATTATATCTCTGAATACAGAAGCCTTGGTGGTGCAGTGATTACATGAAACGGAATACTGCCTAAGTGCCCACTACTAGAACTAAATTTGAGACAGCCACGTGGAATGCATCCGGGTAAAAGAATGAAGGAGGTCTACAGTAGTAGTGTGAAAAGTTTTTTCTTCTATTCTCAAGTAAGAAAATTGAAAATATACATAACTTCGTAACACTACCCTGGCGGTACATAATTTGAAATGGTAAACACCTGTGCACAGGCAACGTCTAAGAGACACAGCCACAGCCGCCGTGGTTTTGACTGAAGGCCTGAGGGCAATGACGAGAGATGAGATAGAGGTTTTCTCTGTACTCATTCCTGTATTGCCCGACATTTTAAAACTGATAATTGTTTATACCTTGGCATGTGTGCCTGTGTGGGAGTGCACAAGTATGGGGTTCCAGGGACACACGGACAAGTGTGTTCAGGAGTGGGGAGGCCCAAAGTTGGTATCTTTCACTGCTCTCCACTTTTTATTGGTTTGTTTGTTTGTTTTGTTTTTCCAGACAGGGCTTCTCTGTGTAACAGTCCCAACAGTCCTGGAACTAGCTCTTGTAGACCAGGCTGGCCTCGAACTCACGGAGATCCGCCTGCCTCTGCCTCCTGAGTGTTGGGATTAAAGGCATGTGCCACCACTGCCCAGCACTCTCGACTTTATACACTGAGCCACAGTCTCTCAGTTGAACCCAGAGCCCACTGATAGAACTAGTCTTGCTGGTCAGCTTGCTTCACATATCCCATCTCTCCCTCCTAACAACGGAATTACGTGGATGCTGGGGATCTCAACTCAGGACCTCAGGCTCACACAGCAAATATGCTACCCGCAGAGCCATCTCCCCAACCTTACTCTTGTGTAGTAGCCCACAAGTGACTCAGTTTCCATATGGAGTCCATTCTGGCTTAAGAGCCATTTGAGTTCAAACTTGCCTGCTCTGCTTGCTCCAGTATCCTTGAGGGCTGCGAGAAAGTTCTGTTTAAACTGGCGGGAAAGAGCATTTTGCCCATGAGAAAAGAACACGTTATCTAGTAGAAAGAATGCTGCTGGTGCCAAACCTTAGGGCACATCCAGATAGAAGAAGCTGCTTGCCCAACGACAGGAATGGTCTTGGGGTTAGATTCTGACTGTGCTGTGCTGTGCTTTGTTCTGTTTTGTATATAAGCAGGCTCTGAAATAAACTCGGGGCTGTGCAGAGTAAGCTGGCACTCCCCCGAATCTATCCTGTGTTTTCTGTCTCAATTTCTTTCAATCTGACATTTCCTTAATCCTCACACCCCTACCCAGATACCCCCAGCTGATTTTGTTGGAGCAGGCTATCCTCGTAACTTGTAAAGTCACTTCAGAGCCGATGTGAAGTTTGAGTAGGTACTGTGGTTGCCATGGGAGCCTGGTGACCTGAACTCGATCCCCTAGAAACTATGTAAAAGTGGAAGGAGAGAATGAACTCCACAAACTTGTCCTTGATTTCCACATTCATGCTGTGGCATGTATGCCCCCCCATCACACACAAGAATAATAAAGTACATAAAATTATACTTTAAAAACTCTAAAACATAAAATGTTCAGGTTAGAGTAATCATTTAGATGTTCTAAGAGTTGTAGGGAGCATTGAAACCAAAGCCGTTTTGAAAATCTCATTCAATATTTGTCTGTGTATGTCAGCCATATTGAGCATGGTGGCTCAAGTCTGTAATCCTGGAGACTGAAGCAATCAGATTACCATGAACCCAGTGCCTGCTTGGACTACATAGTAAGTTCCAGGCCAGCCTAGGCTACAGAGTTGAGATCTTGTCTTCAAACAAAAACAACAGAAAAGTAAACCGCTTTGGGGGAGTGCAGTTCAGTAAACACGTTAGGGTGTGACATCACACACACACATACACACACACACACACACACACACACACACACGTGTTCCTGTAAGCTGGACATGGTGGCTCAAGCCTGTAGCCAGTGCTCTGGAAGCCATAGCAAACAGATTGCCACTGGGCAGAACTCGGTGTGTGGCAGAGAATGCCAGGCGACTTGCCTCAAGCTATAATCAAACCTTAGTGTGAGAGGCGCACCCTGTTTGGAAAAACACCCCGAAGTGGAAACCCTGGAAAACTGAGAGAAAGGCACATCAATGGGGCCTGCAGCTTTCAGGACAGCAGTGGGCAAGAAAGAATGAATTACACGTGTGCCACGGACAGAAAAGGGTAAGTACCTGCACCCAGGATTCATCTAGCACACGCATGCACACGCACGCACACGCACGCACACACATGCACACACACACACACACACACACACACACACGCTCACTCCCTCGCTTGCCTTTGAGTAGAGCAGGACAGAAATGACGTCCAAGGCAGACTGCACAAGTCCTGGCATTTGTCAGGCAGAGAGCAGCAAGGGCTTGAAAACACACAGGATTATCTACACAGTGAAGGAAACATCTGTCTGCCTGTGAGGCTGTGGTCGCACAAGGGACAGAGGCTTCCTTGGCACCAGCACCTACCCAAGGGCTAATCCCCAACAAAGTCAGGGAGCTGTTTTCACCCAGCTCTGCACGTCGTGGGGAGACATTGTCAGGTTCCCTGGACAAGAATGATGGTCACAGTATGTGGTTGGACCATCCAGTTAGAGGGAGTTTGGTGTTGCCATGCTCTAAGAAGGGAGGAAACTTTGCTGAGTTTCCGCCCTGGGTCGGAGGCCAGGGAAGGATTTTGTCAGGAGCCAGTGCCACCCAAGGCTCCTGCTGAACCACACCCTCCCCCGCTTGGAATTCTCCTTGGTGGAATGCACAAGGCCTTCTGGTTAATATCCGGTCTGCTGGGATAGTTGTGAGTCTGAACCTTTTTCTTTCCATCTCAATCTCTGGTCTAGTCCTCACTGTAGGGGTAGGGGGAAGCACAAAGCAGTCTAAGGGGCTCTGTTGAGAGCAAAGGAAGCGGGAGAGCAGGAGGATCTAGAGTTCAAGGCCAGCCTTTGCCACAAAGGGACTTGAGGCCAGCTTATGCTACCCAAGACCCTGTCTAAAAGAAAGAGAAAAAAGAGTGGACTCTCCTCTGCTTTCTTTCCTGTCACTCTTTCTATTTTATTAGTTTAAGATTTGGTCTTGCTCCTTCCTCTTTTCTGCCATTCTGGCAATCGAACAACCCCCAAGGGCCTCTTTCCAAGCTTGCTCTCTTCCCCAGCCTCTGTTCTCAGCTGCCCCCCCCCCCCCCCGCTACTCTGCAAGGCTCCATTCTCTGAGCTCCCTCGCCCTTGGAAGGTGATAACCGCGAAAAGGAGGGGAACAGTCTTTTCAGTGGGGGCTTCAGATGATGTCATATCCTCAAATGCGAAATCAGCTCAGTCTGCGGCGGCCAGCGAGCTAAGAGCCCAGTTTCCTCACCCACCACGCCCCCTGTTCCTGGGCCCCTCCCCTAGCACCCTAGCTTGACCTAAGCTGCTGGTGGTCGCACACCATGGCCTCGCCGGTGACCTGCTTTCTGTCGCTGACCCTGCTGCTCGGTGAGTTGATGATCGGGGGAGGGCAGGGGCTGAAGTACGTCGAGGGCGTGGGGACTCCAGGCTCAGTCTCCTTACCTGGCACTCGCAGACCTTGTCGCCGAGCTCCAAGGTTTGGAACTGTTACAAATATCGTCTGCGAATACGCCCCCCGAACTCGGCAAGGAGTTGAAGCTGAAATGCTCAGTGCGGTTGTCCACTACGCAAGGATGCTCTTGGCTCTTCCAGAAGGACGGCTCCGGAGTTAAACCCACCTTTCTCCTCTATCGCTCGACCCGACTCAAAGTGAATGACGAACTGGATGCAAACAAGTTCTCTGGCGAAAAAAATGGCAACGAGTACACCCTCACCCTGAAGAAGTTCGGCGAGGAAGACCAGGGCTACTATTTCTGTTCTGCCACAAGCAACTCGGTGGTGTACTTCAGTCCTCTCCTGCCGGTCTTCCTGCCAGGTCTGCGCACGGGGGTCCCTTCCTCTGGGTGTTAGGGGTCACATCTGGACATTTTCACATACAGATGTCCTTCTCTTAAATCTCCTGGGGCTCTTTGGGGGCTACCTTCACACCATCCCCATTTCACAGGCCAGAAAACTGAGGTTGAAGTGCCAGGTGGGATTGGAGGTGCCCCGGATCTGGGATGGAATTTGAATGCGTGTATTGCCCTGTCCGTGTTGTCTCAGGGTGTAGAGCCGGGTATTGACTCAAGCTTTGCATTGGGGAGGGCCACAGCTGCTGAGCTGCAGGACCTGGTCCAGGAGCACTAGGCCCAAAGTCACATTTGACTCCACGTATGCAAGCCGCAGAGTGGCCCAGCACTTGTCCAGGGGGCTCTTCTTCCTCTCTAAAATGCCAGGAGGAGGTTGGGGCAGTGATGCATCCACCACACCTGCCTGACCCGCAGGCATCCTGTTGCTCCTGCAGGGAAGCCCACCACGCCAGCGCCGCGACCACGCACTCCAGTGCCCACTGCCGGGACATCTCGGTCCCCAAGACCAGAAACTTGCCGGCCTGGGTCGGGTGCCTCAGGTTAGCAGCTGGGGTGGGCAGACAACGTGGGAGGCTACTTTCCAAGGAAAACCCTGATCCTGGAGGGACACCTGGACCGGGGAGAGGTGCTGGGGTGGGGGCGGGGGACTGTTCCAGAGGGTTTTTAAATGCCATTCGCTGGGTTCTTGACAGTGGAGAGGAGGGGCTTGGACTTCGACTGTAATATCTTCATCTGGGCACCCTTAGCCGGACTCTGCGGGGTCCTTCTGCTGTCCCTGGTCATCACTCTCATCTGCTGCCACAGTAAGTCCTGGGGAGTCCCCAC